CTCATGTTCTAAAATTTGATGTGGATTCTGGTTTTAAAATCAAAATGTTTAAACACTAAATATTCCTTTAAATTGAATACAATGCATTCCTACATTATTTGCAATTTTGTTAGAACTAGTTCCTATAAATTTAAAAAGAGATTACTGGATTTGCTTCCTAGATTTTCTTATTCCAATAATTATTTATACTACAATGATAAGTTTTCTTTTAAGAGATGTTTACCATGATAGTATTATATAAGAGACTTGACTAGGCAAAGAGATTTTTGGTCCATGCACGACAAATTGCAAAATATTTAATTAAGGATGGTTTTTGGTTGTTAAAAAATTTTAAGCATAAAATTACTTTGCCCTTTTTCTCCATATAAAGAAAAAAGGGCTGGGCTGAATAACGACCAAATTATTTTACAGACTAGCCAAAAAAAAGTTATGTGGGCACAAAAAACTTTTTCAAAAATTTCCACAGGCCAGTTGAGATGGCCCACACTAACCTATAATATATAAGTCCATTCATAGAGTTATTGAATCAATTTTTTTAAATCAAATTCCTTTGCCTATAATTGTTATATATGAGTGGGATTTTTAAGGCCTATCCTACCGCTATTAAAGTTGATATCAGCCCATGATATTAACTCATAGTTTTCAATTATAAAACACTATTGTATAATTTTAAAATAAATTTAATGAAAATTGTTTTACAAAATTAATCATCATAATATATTATTCAATTGATCTGTCAGAAAGGTAAAAAATATGTTGTCTTACTCTTAGTGCATGAAAATTTATTTTATAGATGAAATTGGTTTTGATTAAATTTGCACATTTTGTACCAATATAAAAGTAGAAAAATAAATTTTAAAAAAATTTCTTGGATTAGAACATAATCAAATAAGACAAAATTTTTTGCTTACCTTTTTTTTGTGACATATTGAGACAATATTTTTTTCAATAAAGCTTTGGATGGCATTCTTCTAATCCTCTAGTCAAAAATTGAGACTATTACCAAATATAGTTAATCTGATTTATCTTATTTTATAGAACCATGGGATGACATGAAGGACATTGCCAAGCTTTTGTAGGTTAAAAAATTTTAAGTCAGATTTTGGAACCTGGAATAAAAAAAAGGATTCTATTTTTGGTTCTGGTTCTTAAATTTTGATCTTTCGGTTCTTAAATTTGACCTGATTTTAATTCCATTTCCAAATTCTGATTATAATAAAATCCTATTATCTATCTGGATCAAATGCTTGATGCTACCATATTCTAACAGATTAAGTTCTAGAAAAATATAGCTTTTGAGTCAAATCATATTACTCAACCTGATGGTTTGTAACAGATTTATGCTAGAATGTAGAAACATGGAATAATTATAAGGCTTATTGGAAGTAAAAGTAATAGATTTTTGTATCTCAAAAAATTCTTTAGGACCTGGACATTTCCTGGCACTTATTGACAGAATGTTTAAAATAGAATTTATTTTTTACTAATTGCTAACTAAATTAAATATAGACAGCCATTATTGTATGTTTTATTTTTGGTATTTATTCCATTATAAGTTATTACTATAAAAGTGTTAGGTACTGATTTTTGTGCTAACAAGTGTGCTCTGGAGTATTTATGTGACTAATAATATGAGCATAATAATTGACTAGTGGTGGGCGCTTTATTAAGTGGTAGTTTATGGCCTACCATATTTTAGGACAACTTTCGTAGTATTGCAAACGCTTACCTGTGGTATATTTGTATTTCTACCACTTAGACATATATCATAAAAAATATATATATATTTATATCCATCATTTTAATATTATATTTGACCAAAACAAATTATCTAGCCGAGCTGACATTTGCAAATCGTTTTATCCTACATAAATGTTCTGATTAAGAAAACGTAGTTTACACTATCACATTTAAGAATCCCTCTAGCGTAAGAATTTTTTAAGGTTAATTAAGAAAAAGGAAGTATATCCTAAATAGAGAAAGAAAGAAGATAGATATGGCCGCAGATCAAAACAGTTTATTTTTTTTTATCAAATAATTGCTTTTTGAAAATCAAAATGGATTATAAAATAATTTTATTTAAAAAAATTTCAAACATTAGCCGTTGAAATTAAAAAAAATTTGGCAAGGATCCATTTGGATTGCGTTTTCTTCAATTTTTTAATCCTATGTTACTTGTAATATTAATCTGGTTCAAATTTTTCCAGCGAATCTTATGATATATTGATTATAACTCTTTTTGTATAGAATTAAGCACGGATTTATTCATTGAAATGAATTAAATGGTGTACATACATTGAAGTCTGCCATTGAAGAGTATTTCGATGGAATATGAAATTATTTAGACATCATGTGAAAGGTATTTAGACCAAAGTCGGCCTAGAATTGGAATGTTCTACTTGCGCAAATGTTTAAAATAAGAAAATCAACATTAAAGTTTAAAATCAAATATAGGAGAAGCTTATTGATCAATTTTGACAGGGCTATAACTCTGGCAAAAATTAATATTTTAGTTTTTATTTTTATATGTATTGGGAATAAATAAGTTATTACCCACTTCTAACTCAAAAATTTTGAAAATGTCGAGTGAAGCACTCCAATTCTAGACCTACAATATCTTTCAATGACGTTTGCTATAGCCAATTCCAATGGACGCACATTTTTAATAAATGATGCGTCGTCTCGGTTAGTATAAATGCAAAATCAATAATTATAATTACGCACAAATATTAAAGAAATAGATTTAATAAATTTAATAATAATACCATAGATATTTTATATATATATAATTTATTTAAAGATAATATCACGTGATTTTTTCAAAATAAATGATTATTGGGTTCGTTCAACTCCTCCATTTAACCAAATTGAATTGGCTAACCTATGGAGAACGAACTTTAAAAAACGACAATTAATACTATACATCAGAGAATGTTTGAAATTAACATATTTTCGAAACAAGGAAATAGGATATACAAGATAAATCACGTGATTATAGGTATTTTTATTCTCGCTTTGAACCCTAGATATTTAAATCGATAATCACCTGAAAATAATTATGCGAATATTCTTAAAGAAAAATTTAAAACCACGCCATTACATGAAAAAGAAAAGAACACGAAAATCAAAATATTCGATATATTTTTTGCGATGATTTATTTATCCGTGAAAATTTATCGATTATATTGAATTTTCAATTCAAATGGCGATGTTTATTTATATTTGGAAATAAATATTTTTTGTCCCACATATCAAAATTTTTTCAATTTAAAAACATTATAACATTACACTTTATTATTCTTGTAATAACGCCTTCAATCCATTTTTATAAAATAAAATATGGATTTTTCATATTATGGTGGGTAAGGGGGGGGGGGTGTTATAGATATGCAGTAGATAATCTCTTATACAAGAAAACGGCCATATTATAAGTTTTAATAATTATTTCAAAGTGTGTGTTAATTTATGATTTGGCTCAGATTATTTTTGAAACATATTTCTGCTTAGTATAGGCCATTCAGCCTTTGAGCTGTGACACCTTATTCTGGTTTGTTTTTAAATGTGCACATTAGATAAATATTATTTGTTATTTATAGATACAAATAAAACTCATATTTCTTTTTAGGCTAGGAAGCTATATAGATGGCTGTTAAGAAATAATCAGGGAGTTGACATGGCCTTAAAGCTTTAATTCTCTTTCTATGAAATAACTAGACTTAGTAATTAAGGTTTTCTTCCAGGTTTAGTAATGACTTCTATCCCTCTCCCATACTCAAATCTCTGGCTTTTTCATTTACAAAATATATACTTTTTGACTGAATCTTGAACCATTAGATTTGGATTATTGTATTAATAATTTCCAAGTCACTTATTCCAAATTCTTATTCTATTCTAGGATATTTAGAATGGCGTAAAAAAAATATATATATAAAAATACCATTTTCTCCAGACACTTTTTACTGGGTATGAAATTTTTCAGAAATACTTTATTTTGTATTGTACTTGACATTGAAAAAAAAGCAACCTAAATAAAAATACCAACAAGACAATTAGGAAGGTAATGGCATCTCCCCTACCCCAAAGAATAATATGGTTTAGTGTATAAATCTAAAAAATGCCCCCCCCCCACTGCCAAAAATAATACTGATGATCTTGCGCCTTTCCTTCACCCGTTATAGAAACCTTTGAGGGTCCGGTCTAAATTTTTGAATGATATTGAGTAGAGTAAAAATAGTTTTTTTTGATATAGGATCAAAGAAATGTACCCTAGACTCTTTAAACCAAGCTTAGTTAGGATTGGATTATTCTAACTTTTATTCACGTCCCTGATAGATATTTTGTTGTGTTAGAAGAGGTTTTAAAAATTATATTCTAGGTCTTCTATCTCTATATTCAGGTCGAGTTTATTTTAAGCTTAGATATACCTTTGATTTTATTACCACCATTTTTTAAAACAGGCAAAAACTAGAATGCTCATAAAATGAATATATAAGATATTTGAAAATGGACGATAGATATCTGATCAAATGTTAATCTTGTAATTATATTTTAAAGGCTATATTGAAACAGAAATTGCGCTCAATAGAAATTTTGATAAAATCATATGGTTATAAACAGCTTTTCCTAGTTTTTGAGCCATAACCTTAAAAAAGAACGGTTATCATACACTTTTCTATCTCAACTTTTTACCACACGAATTTCACTTTACTGTAAAATACTTTTTACCATGTTTTTTTGTCTTTCTAAAAGTACCAACAAACATATGATTATTTTGATCATATGGTCCCGCCATAATTTATGTAATTTTAATTTTTTTGGTACGATTATGCAAAAATATTGTTATGTACATATATAAAAAATGTTATTTTTATTATTTGCCTAATAGGCCTTTTTTAAAAATAGCTTATAAATAAAAATTCTTGTATCTTGCCATATTCAAAAATGGCTTGATAAATCAATTTATGAATACTGAGCATGCTCCATTTTTATGACAATCATAGCATGGATTTGAGTGACGAATCAATTGATATCCCTGCTCACAAGATTTCCCTTTCGCGCCAAAATTTCCCAACATTTTCTTCGAATTCCATAAATTATTGCGATATCGCTGATGATGCAGAATCATCCATCCCTAACCCATCCGTTAAGTTAGAATTCATCAAGGGCCCATGGTAAGATCTTTTTTCTTTAATACAAGATTAATATTAAAGTTTTTTAATGCATCGCAAAAAATCTTAAACGATATTTTATAACTGAATGAGAGAATCTTCTTACACGTTCATATTTGCAAGTTTTTGAAAAGATACTCTTCGAAATGATACTTTGCTAAGTTTAAAATAATACATTAGTTAAACATTTTAAAACGGGTTACTTGCTACTCCGGTTATTTTCGAACATATTTATAGCGGTTTTGAAATCTATATCCGTTCGCTTCGTTCCAGTTTTTATGTTTTCTATTTTTCTAAAAATAACATAATATCGATTTTTTAACTGTTCCTTCCGGTTTGGCGGCTTTACCAACGCAAACTTTTCAATTATATAGTATATTTTAGATAATTTTATTTTTTTACAAAATCTACCTTATTTTATTGATTTTTAAACATTGATCTAGTTTCATTTTTTTACATCCTAGATCGGCCTGATAAATATATCCGTTTAGCCCCGATTCAATTTTATCAATTTAAAAATTAAACATGTTTTTATTTTGAATTTATTGCGCTACAAAATTTTGTTAAATTATTTCATATCTAACCCTGGTAGAAGAAGAAAATTGTATTAAAAATAAATACAAATTTTTTTGCGCTCTTGGCACATTGCACTGCGATAAAAATGATTTTAAAATTATATTTATTATTAAAAAAAATTATTGTTATTTAAGGGGGCCACAATATTTTGGTCAAAATATATTACTCTAGCCTGGAGATTTTGCTCATGAAATCGGCTAAATCTAGTGGTCTAACAATACTAGCTAGTTACGAGATGACCCTGACTACTTTACCTTAAAACTTATATAACTTTTAAATTATTTTATCGTTAAAATTTTGTAATTTGTGAAATTTTTGCGAGAAAAATATAAAATTAATAAATCATTCACATCAAAACATTTTGAATATTTTAAATGGAGAATTTAACAATACTTTTGAAAATTTAATGAAAGATTCAGGACATGTTTCGTATCTCTCAAAACTCCGCAAAAGTTATGCAATTCTTAAAACTTTTGAGTAGGTTTTTTATTTTATTTTAGACACATCTTTATATAAAGGAAGATTCTACATTAATCATAGGATCGATTAGCATAGGAATAGGCATCATCTAACAATTTAAATTGTTTTTTTTGCTAAATTCCCATTTAGCCGTCATATATGCTTTAAATGGCCATGTTGCAAACGCCTTAAAAATAGCTATGTATCCTCTTTATAAAACATTACGGGTTTATGAGGTTTTCCTGTTTAACCTTCATTTTTTTCTTATAATTTTTTTAATTTAGCTCCCCCACCCTCTTTGAAACGTTAGTTCGAAGGAGACGCATAAAAATTTTGTTTTGGAGCTTAATATTAGCCCACCTATAGTACTTTAATAAACATATATACATCGGCTAAAATACACGAAAATTGTTTAATACATTCTTTTTGATGTTTCAAACTTACATAATATATTATTTAAAGTTTTTTTATTATCGATTATTATGTCTAAAACTGGACAATGTTCAAGTTTTTATTAAAAAGGATTAAATTTGACGCTAATTTTTTTTGTGATTATTTTTTTTAGGTATCTTCCTTTTTGCAAAAGATAATATTTTTTATAATAGGAGATAACATTTTTTATAATATTTTTGAATCTTTTTTTGTTGTAAGATAGGAAAAAATTAGAAATTTTTTTTTCGCATGCGTTGTTACAATACAAGCAATATTAACATTGAAAACCATTGTTTTTTTTTTATTTTTCTCTTTAAAATATATTAATGTATATTAATAAATTAAAATAATTATTCATTTTATTTATTAGATTCGCTTCTCACGATATTGGAAATAAATTAGCTTTCGTTCAAAATATCAACATTATTTTTAAATATTAGTTAATTTAAATCAAGGAATTTTTTTTTAAAAATTAGTCCTACCACGAAACGCTCTAAATAGTATGCGAAACTTTTTTTTCTAGAGATCCGCTCGCCTTGATTTTTTTTTATTTGGGTTGGGCAAACTTGTTACAAAATATTTTTCTGGCCGGGCTGAATGAGCCAGACCGGACCTATTCATATTGGAATTTTATTTTATTAATTTGTAGTAGCCAAATGTCTCAATTATTCTCACCCGAGGTTAGGAAGAATTTGAACAGAGGATGGACCGCTATGGACGATAATTCTTTTCCCCTGTCCGACATATCCTGCAGAGAACCCCAGTCAATGTCTCTCATAAACAACAAGGATAAACCACCATACTCACCCACCTTCAGGCTTCCTAGTATCAAGGTATAATTTAATTAATACTTTTTTTTAATGAAGGGGGGTGTTGGAGAAACCCATTACTTATATCTGATTTTTAAGTGACAGAATTGCTAGAAGAATAGAACGAATAGATGGAAGTTACTTTCAAAAAATTTTTAATTTCATCATAAAAGATTTTTTTATGATTTACTTATAAAAGATTTTGAAAAAATGACACCAAGTTATATATTTTAAGCCCTGTTTCTAACATAGTTTTAGTCTTCTGGAATTATTCGAAACCTATTTTCATAGATTTAGATGAGAATAATTACCACACTATAGAAAGAAGTAAAGACCAGCAAATTCGATTTATCCTGATTCAATTTTTTTTAAAATGTATTATTTAAACCGAGCTCTGTCAGACTTTTTAATAGAGAAATAGGTATTTTTTTAAAAAGTTTAAATTCAAAAATTACTTAAATTATTTTTCTTCCTCTAATCTCAGAGAATATTTCTTTATAGTCATCTTTTACTTAAGAGGTATAAAATTAATCATAATATATTATTTTTTTCCCCGAAGCCAGTCCCGAATTTTATAATTTTTTTGTGGGGATAGACCTAGAGGATTTTAAGGAAGATGACTGTTGTAATTGTAGATTGTAGTTCATTATTTTGATGAGTTGAATTGTTTATAACATGTCAATCGTTATGTGATTCGAAGAAATGAAGATGGTGAAATACGAATCTTTATCATTTGTTGAAATTTGAATACATGTAATAATAAATTGTTTATATAGACCAGCTTCTCTTCGTCTCCGATTTTAACAATATCAACATTTTTAAAAAATGTATAATTTATTTTATTTAGGTCGAAAAAATTGAATGTAGCAACGGGTTTACTATTAATGTCGCCGTCCAGGGGCAAAGGAGTAAACCGGCTATATTAACTTACCACGATATTGGATTGAATCGTAAATATTTTTTTATTTCATTATTAATCTGATTTTTTTTTATTAATATTTACTAACAACTTCCAAATTATCCGCCTCGCCCATAAATATTATTTTTTGCATAAGGCCTCATTTATGGTAAACGCGTTTAGTTCAAGCCTTGCGTTATTACAAAATAAGGCTAATAAATATGTATAAATTTATAATTATGGAGCGTTATGGTGATAAAGCTATGATAAAATTTGAAAAGCATATGTTGCGATGCGTTGATAAAAAATATGCGAAACGATTATAAAAACAATCGCGAATTCGATAAAAAGGGTATATGATTTCTTAAATATTTTAAAATAATTATCTCTATTTTGGCTTTATCTTAAATTAGTTTCTAAAACTGAATCATTTGCAATAACGCTCCGTTAAATAAACGTAACACTTGAAGATGACGCGTTAACTATAAATGCAGCGTAAATGAATTCTCCAATTAAATATATGATTCTGTTTCAAAATTACACGATAGATGCTGCGATCGGAAAAAAAAATTAAATAACATCAATTAAGTTCGCTCGCCTATTTTAATAAATTTTCAATAGGATTTGGAAATGAAAGGTGATAATTGGAATATAATTTTATAACTATTTTTTTTAAAAAAAAGTATAACATAGAATCAAATTTTACTGAAACGTGTTACATTGAATCAATCGGCATTTCTTTCAGAAAATAAAATTTTAATGTTTTACAGAATTTTTTATTTATATGATTTTATAAGAATAATTAAGGAAAGGGGGGGGTGAATTAGAGGAATTCGTCTCTATTTTTCACTCCCAAACAAAACATCATAAAAAAAATCTCACTCGATAATTTATAAGATGTAATTTATAATTCACTTTGTTAAATTGATGTATAACACTGCATTCAGAGTTAGCACGAATCGTAGCGAAGTAAATCTATGAATACATCATTCGGTAAATTTATTCCTAGTTTCACATCACAGGATTCAAATTGGAAGATTAGTTTAAACTTTCTATAAATTTCTTTTTTAAAAAATATTTTCAATCGATATAATATTTTGCTAAAAAATGTATTTTAAATTTTGGGATATTTTATTCTATAATTATTTTCTACCTGTTTATTTTATTAGGTGGAAATACAACATAATAATATTCACCATCACGATATTAACCTTGACACATAATATTTTTGATAAGAATATTTTTATTTTATTTGCTAATTAATCATTTATGTTTAATAGTTGTATTTATACAATAATTGATTTTATTTATAATATAAATCTTGTCAATTAATTTTATCCTAATATAAATTTACCTTTGTTTTGAAATGCACACACATATAGGCTTAACAAAGAGACCAAAACTACCAAAAATTTCCCAGTGACAGTATCTTAATTCATGTCTTGATTGGGGGAAAGAGACCAAAACTATCAAAAATTTCCCAGTGACAGTATCTTAATTCATGTCTTGATTGGAAAGGGGGGATTAAGTATGATCAAGGCTCTGACTCTAACTCCCGATTTTACTTGACCCAAACTTTATTAACAACTTTTCCTTATTTCATTACCTCATGAAATCGGTATATAACCTGAAAAGGCGTTACATATTAGATTTTAAATTTAATTTTTTTTGGCACACATGCCCCACCCGAATTATTATTTCCGAACCTGGCCCGTTTAAAAAAAAAATTTTGAAGTTTATTCCACGTGAACCGGTTTACAGGACTTTTAAAGAAATTTAAAGAATTCGATTCAAAATATCAAATCGCAAATGTTTTCGAATAAAAAGACTTGATTAAATCGCCAAGCAAAGCCCGACACTCTTAATCAGGGCTGTGAATACATAGGCTAAACTCAACTTTTGATAACAGGAACCTGATCGGAACCAATTGAAATGGGTCTGAACCCAGGTCGATTTTATCCTTGAGGTGTAAGGTCTCGAAATGTCTAATTAAACAATTTTTAATATCTCAACCCTAATATGGGTTCACTGCCCTTTTAATAAAGTTGAGAGTGATATCTCAAATTCGGTTCACAGCCTAGTTAAAAAATATTTTTGATTACAAATCTATCCTTATTCATAAAAGCCTTATCCTGCTTTCATTCCCAGTATACTAGAACCAATGGACTTATCACGTTAGATAATAAAATTCATCATGGCTCACGTCTTAAGCTTGAGGTAACCGGGCATAGTAAATGCGCTGCATTAGAAAATATACAGTATTTACCGATTGTTACTACCACGCCAGAGAACTTCGGTGAAGAAGCGACTCGTTTTTTAAAAAACAATAAGCAGAAAATTAACCATCATTACGGGGAATTCATATGAAAATCTATATCTTATTCAAACAAATATCGCTTGAAATCTATCAATTCGTGGTTATATATATATCCACCAAATTGTGGGGTTTAGTGGGATTCGATTAATATTTTTTAGGCGGTTGCGACCATTTTTAAATAGCATTTTATTCAGAGAAATTGTTATTAGGCGGTTCTTTTTTTGGTGTGACCTAAGTGTTCTTATTTTTAATACTTAAGGAATTCCGAATATCCTTATTTATTTATTTTTATTCTTAAAAGAAAGTTCTATTCAGACTCACGTAATAGATGCCATTGCATTAGTAACTTAATTGATCTTTGTAAACGGTGTCGCTGAAAGATTTTTTGTTGTGTTTTTATCACTCACCCTATTTTGAATTTTTATAAAAAAAAATTTTGATCTCTATAAATCGTATCTTCTTGTTGATCTTATGTCCTATTTTCGTGTATACGTCCTTTGCTTTCTTCTACCCTATTTAAACTTTTTAAATAATAAAATTAATAAAAATAAAATAAATAATCCGTATTAAATAGATTGATTGAGACTCATTTTCCAGTTACGGGATCTTAGTTGCGAAGAAAGAGCATATAGATTTTTTTTAAGTCATAATGCTCTTCCCCCCTTTTGAATTGGTATTTAGGCAAATAGTCTTTTTTTAAATAAGGTTTTACATTCAGCCTAACATAAATAGCCATCCATCCTTCTTAATATTGGCATTTAATACTCAAACAAATTAATATATTCTGATTATTAAAGATAAAAATAAGATGAAAATATTACAATGGCGAAGCATTGTGGAGTAATTTTGCATCGGATTTGAAAACGTATATAATTTTTCATACAATAAATATTTTATTTATGAGTGTTTTAGCTTTAGAAGAATTTAAAGATCTTGGTAAAGAAAATGTAAAGCAAAAATCAATGGTGAAATAATATTTTTGGGTTCGGGTGGCGTGATATACTATATTGATTATTAGGGCTGTGCCGATCCGATATTTTCATATTGGTTCATACCTAATCCGATACCAATCCGATATTTATATTGATTTTACCACCCCCCTTTGAACTAAATATAATTAAGAAATCAATATTTTTTATGCTAAAAATCGAATTATGAATTTAATTTTTTATTTCAACAATAATTAAAAAAAAGTTTAAGGATATTGGTGGTATTAAATGAATTTTTCTTCCTCCCCGTTAAATTAGAATTCCGCAGATAACGCATTTTGCAAAATTATCTTTGTCTTTTGTAAAATATTTCCATAATTCAGATACCATATTTAAAAAAAATTCTTTTATTTAAAGTATAAATAATAAAATTGGCTAAAGACAAATAAAACTTTGGGTGTTCCTTTCTATATTTATAAAACTTTTAAAATACTAATCTATTTTAAAAAAGAAATAAAATTTATAGGGTGTTGCGCATTTGCATTATTTTAAAAAAAAATTATTTCGAAAATATTATTAAGGCTGTGTCCAGTATTGTTTTGATTATATTGAATAAAGTTATTTAATTATTTTAATGAGGAAGACTGCTTAATAAATTTACATTTTTTAATAAATCATTAAATATAATAATTTTTATTATAAAAATATACAAAATATGAACATATTATAAATATGGTATTAAAAATAAAGATATAAGATTACATATATAAAGATATATTTTCTAAAAATTTCATTTTCATTTGGTATATTTCTTTTTCAGTCATTAGATGAAAGGTTGCTTGGAATGATTTAAAAAATGCCTGAACATGATGAATATCATCATCATGACATTTTTTTTGCAAAATCTATTTCAAAAATAAATTATTATTAAATATAATAAATATTTACCTTTAAATATATCCATCTTCTCAGTATCATATTTTTTAATTTTATTAATTCTTTTAGATTTAGATTTTTCAAAATTTTTCCTTTTAGAGGAACAAGGATAAACATTTTCAATATTAGAATTGTTTAACTATTATTAAATTAATAAAATATATAATAAATATTTAACTTCTAATATTTCATTTTCAGACATATTCATGTCTATAGGACTAAATGTATTAACTATATCATTCAAGATATATTGTGCACTAGGTTCATCATTCTAAAACATAGTTTATTATATAGATCTAATTTCATGTTATAATACCTGTGAATGTGATGATGTTTGATCATTAATAGAATCCTTAGATAGTTTCAAACTGAAACTAGCTTCAGAATGCTTACAAATATCTTCAACATTTTCTTTTAGCCAATAATAATCCTCAATAAATTTGAGTTGCTTGCTATTCAAAATATTAGCACCTGAACCTAAAATATAAAATAATATTTATATATATTTATAATTATACCTGATTTTCTGGATATAGCATCATCAATTGAAATTCGTTAGCCATTTTTATTCCCTCAATTCGCAAAAGTTTAAGGAAAAAATGATTAAAGTTTTACGAATCTTATAATTTTTAAGAATCACATGATTTGCGCAAAATCGAAAATATCATTTAGGCCAACATTTTAATTTACCATTTAAAATAGCTTATATTATTTTTTTCGGTAGATTCGCGCAAATTGCGCGAGATAATTTTTATGCAATTTTTGATATTTAGGACACAGCCTAATATAAATAAATAAACATAAAATAACAAAAAAGAAAAGTAAAGCAAAAAGATCAAATCGGTTTTTACAGGTATCGGCCCGATCCGATATTTTGGGAAACGCCAAATATCGGTGCCGATCCGATATTTAGTATTGGCACAGCCCTACTGATTATTTTATCATCCAATGAAAATCGTTTTAAATTTAAATCTATCTAATTATTTGATTTTTTTTTGATTTTTTCAAAATTTAATATCCAATTTTTCTCGTGAAAATACAAAAAAATGTTTTTGAAGACGTTTCTCAATTCCAGAATTTTTTCGCCTACGATGATATGTCCATCATTTCTAAACATTTTTGCGTTTATCACATTGACGCACCTGGTCAAGAGGAACAAGCGCCCACTTTGAACGGGTAATATAATTTATAAAACTTAAATTATATTTTTATTTTTATTTAATATCAATGATTTTTTTATTTATTTATTGATTGTAGACTATCAAAGTAAAGTACGTTTTTTAAAATTATAAATATATATTATATAGTGTTATTTTATATAATCAGTTGTCTTATTACTTGTCAAGCATAATCTTGGTAGGTTTTATCATGTAGGCATACTGCCAAAATGGTTTTCTTGAATTACATCTGCTCTAATTTAATATAAAATCTTATCTAAATCTACTTGCATAATTCGGTTCTCTTCCGTCTCCTTAAGCTACAATGTCTTAGGCGATATGGCAATAATACAGCCTTCTAACCTTTTTGCGTTTTGATGCGGCAATATATATTTTTTTTAAATTAAGCGAGCCTTTTTTCAAAGGATATGGGTCATTCCATGTCAAATGAGCAAAAAAATCAAGATTTTCGGCCGACCTCTTTCAATTTTGATAAAAAGTTGTAGACTGGTTATATATGTTTCCATTAGATTATAAACAAAATTTTAGCGCATTAGCAACTATATTAGCGGAGATAATCGGGGTTAAAGGTCCAAAAAACGCCTTTTTTTCCTTTTTACTGATGTTAAATAATTAATTTTTAATTTAAAACTAATTATGATCTAATATTGAATCTAATATCAATAGCTAAGTTAATAATTGATAATTATGGCGAAAACATCAAAAATAATTTTTTTTTAAATATGGGTCATCTTATGGTCAGTTGAAAATTTGAAATTAATATTTCGAAATGTATATGATCTCCGATTTTTAATTTTTTTAAGAAATATTATCCGTTTAATATTATTTTAATAATTTCTTTAACAATTAGCATGGCTGGATATTTATTTAAAAAAATATTGCGATTTTTATACTTTAAAAAAAATAGATGGCGCTATATATAATAGTTTTAATATGTTAAAATTCATTTTTTTTATTGATTATAAATATTTTAATGTATAATATATCATAAAATTCGATCATATAACTTTGTAAACCTTATTCCCCTGAGATATTCGCAGGATAAAAAATTTTAATAATTTTTTTAATATTTCAATATAAATTAAAATAATTAAAAAATCGGACTAGCACACGAACAAAAAAGCAGGATTAAAGGGGTGCAGGAAAATTATTAAGGGAAAAATCGAAAATCACATTAATTATTAGGCCTACCCCCAACCCTCCCCCCCCCAGACTAAATCATACTCATCAAGACCAATAATGTTATGAAATTGTCATTATCTTACATTATTAAAATAACCAGAGATAAAGATAATTTCAAAGATTTTGAAAATTTTTTTAAGCAATAAAAATAACAAAATTATAGTTCTGATGAAATAAGCCGACTCATGCCTGGAATAAAAGATTGTGTATCTGTTAAAGGCGAGAAAGAATCAGCAAAGGTTTATATTAAATAATCTTAAAGAAATATTCAAGATGTTTAAGAAAGAATACCCAAGTATATCAATTGGATTCCCTAAATTTGCCGAACTTAGACCAAAAAACTGAATTTTAGTTGGATGACACACACACTGTTTGTGTCTGCGCCATTCATCAGAATGTGAAATTAATGACAAATGTAATAGCTGAAATTACAGCAGGAGAAGATTACTGTATAAATTCTTATAACAATCTTTTGGCGCAAATTATTTGTAATCCATCTCAGCCAAAATGTTATTTAACAAATTGTGATCAATGCCCTTGTATAGAATCTCTTATGGGCCAATTATACCAATTGTTTCAGAGAAATCGTTTAGAATATGTCACGTTTAAACAATGGATCACGGTGGATAGAGCAAATCTTGAAACTATTATAAAGTCCATTGATGGTTTCATCGAATTCACTCGTTTATAGCTAAACACAAAGTTTATTTTTGAAGAATTCCAAAGAAAATTTAAAAGATGAGGAATTTTTAACAATTCTAGATTATTCTGAAAATTATTCCCTTATTTTACAAGATGAAGTTCAGGGATTTCATTGGAACAATGTGCAGGCCACTATACATCCATTTGTAGCATATTATAAATCTGGAGAAGAATTAAAAAATATAAATTTTGTTATTTTGTCCGAATCATTAAGCCATAATACTAGTGCAGTCCAACTTTATCAAAAAAAATTCATTAAATTCTTAACAGCCAAATTTAATTCTAAACCAGAAAAAATAATATATTTTTCGGATGAAGCCGCGTCTCAATACAAGAATCGCAAAAATTTTCTGAACATATGCCTTCATAAATACGATTTTAATATTCCTGCCGAATGGCATTTCTTTGTCACTGCTCACGGCAAAAATGCATGTGACGGTATCGGAGAAACTGTCAAAAGATTAGTTGCCAGAGCTAGTCTTCAAAGGCCAAATAAAAATCAAATCCTAACCCCATTAGAATTATATAATTATGCTAAAGAAAATATTAATATTCAATTTGAATATGTATCCAATCAAGAATATATCGAAGAGGAATTAGCCCTTCGTAAAAGATTTAATTCTGCACTGCCCATACATGGGACCCAAAAAATTCACGGGATTATTCCCATTGATCAAAATAAACTAAAAACCAAAATATATTCTAATTCCAAAAAATATAATATAAAACAAGTTCCGTTTTAAAATGAGAAAATTATATTTTAAAATATTAATGGATATATAACATGTGTATATGATGATAAATGGTGGTTAGGATATATAATCGATAAAATTTATACAAATGAAGAAGTAAAAATCCGATTTTTACACCCTCGTGGACCTTCAGCCTCATTTAAATTTCCTTTGAAAGATAATATTTTAGTGTTGCCTAAATCTCATATTCTCTCGCTGGTCAATCCTTCTACTCCCACCAGTCGAACATATATATTATCTCCTGAAGAATCTCACAAGCTAGCCAGGCTTTGTATTCCTTTAGATAAAGTAAGATTTAATTAATTTATAAACTATCTTAATTAGGTAAAATTTGTGAAGATTTTAAAAATTTATGATCTGAATTACAAATAAATATATATAATGCACATTGTAATCGATTTAGTATGATATATATACATTAAAATATTTTTAATCAATAAAAAAAATGTATTTTAACATATGAAAACTATTATATATAGCGCCATCTATTTTTTAAAAGTATAAAAATCGCAATATTTTTTTAAATAAATATCCAGCCATGCTAATTGTTGAAGAAATTATTAAAAAAATAGTAAACGGATAATATTTCTTAAAAAAATTAAAAATCGGAGATCATATACATTTCGAAATATTAATTTCAAGTTTTCAACTGACTATAAGATGACACATATTTTATCAAAAATCAATTTTGATGTTTTAGCCATAATTATAAATTATTAACTTAGCTATTGATATTAGATTCAATATTTGATCATATTTAGTTTTAAATTAAAAACTAATTATTTAATATCAGTAAAAAGCAAAAAAAGACGTTTGTTGGACCTTTAACCCCGAATATCTCCGCTAATATAGTTTCTAATGCGCTAAAATTTTGCTTATAATCTAATGGGAACATATATAACCAGCCTACGAATTTTTATCGAAATCGAAAGGGGTCGGCCGAAAAGTGATTGATTTGACATGGAATGACCCAAATGTGTTTACTCAATAAAATATTATTTTAAAATCCATTAAAGTAGTAAATATTATTCATAAAATAAAAATTGGAAAATGATCGAGTAATTAAAATATTAACGTAAAAACTGACCATATGTAACTAAAATTTTGGAAACGCTCAATTTTTGATTTGCTATCCTTTAGCATTTCTTAAATGCCGTAAACCTAGCATGTTAGTATAATACTCACTACCTACCACATTCATTCCTCTTATAGGACACGCTTAATATATACCAATTTTTTACTAACATCCGATACCCTTTCTCAGCAGACTATCTTCTCGTCATGCTATTTTTTTTTCTCCTAAGAGCTTAAGTCTCGGACCTACCTATAAATAGTTGCTTATAATATTTTATTAATATCGTCAAATAACTTTTATTAGCTCAAATATATTATTTTTTCCTATAAAACAATCTCTAAAGATCTTTCGACGAATTGGAATCGACACCTCATCAATCCGCTTCCAACACAATCAATTCGAACGATTCCACCATACTATATTCCAATAAAAACGAGGACAAAATCTCGTTTACTGATAACTCCAAAGTTTTCAACGACAGAAAAAGTCTAAATAATAAATCTACGGAAAATAGCGGAAATTGGAGCTCTATTTTCAACGGATTATGGAGTGCCATTAGTCCTAAGTAAAAAAAGAAAAGAATGGCGAATTGCTTTTTGATGGCTTTTATCTTTTTAAAATTTTTAAGAGATATTAAAGGACAAAAGCAGGGAAAATGGGAAACGTTTAAAAGAAATTATATTGGAGTTGTGAAAAGTTAAGAAAGATAACCCTGAGGAATTTAAGTTTATATATATAACAAATATCATGATTTATAGTAACAATATTCCCTATTTAGAAAAATGAATTCGAATCGAATAATGAGTTGAATTAGTCAACTAATCTACTATCCGTGATAGGTATAACTACAAATAGTAAACTATTCGATTCGTTTATAAAAATCGAATACAATAATTTGTTATTCATATTTGAATAGGGCTATTCGCAATAACATGTCTTTATATTTTTTTAGCCTTGCGTATCCTACCATGGACGAATTGGCCGAGATGATTTTGGATATCATGAAGTATTTCGGGTAATAACGATTTTTTTAAAATGTTTTTTTTAAAAAAAATCTCGATATTCAATAATCACGGTAATTACAATTTTCGGTTACTTTTCTCCTCCTAAATTTTATTTTTATCCAGACCTTTGAATTTTCGCAAAAAAAAGAACTATTAAAAGAATTGTTTGACAAATATTTGCATTTTAAATTTCATTTAATGTAATATTAGCATTCTTTAAACTTGAAAATTGTTCGAAATTTCTCTTGTACAAATAATTTACGTTTTTTTTCTAGCTTTTAAATGTATTTCGTTAAATAAATATTATTATTTTAAATTTAAGAAAAAACACTTGAAAATTACAAACTTAAAATAAGTATCAAACAAATATTTGGCATCATTTGGGGACTATATATTGACATTCATAAGAGACATTTATGATCAATGGAAGGAAGGAAATTGGGCCAGATGTTTTTTTAGTTTTTATTCATGTATAAAATAATTAAATATTTTCATGGTCAAAGAATTAGAGGTCTGCAGTGGGCAGTGTTAGCCCCTCCCCCCAGTTTTTTAAAAAGATTTTAAACATTGAGTGGGTGAGTGAAAAGATAAAAAAAATATTTTTAAAACAATGGGCTGGGGTAAATTTTAAATATACCTCAGCCGGAATGAGAATAACACATCTTTATATTCAATATTATATATATATATTTTTTATAATATTACATATATTATAAGTTTGAGTAAAAATACGTTAGAATAAATAGAGCCAAACCAACCGTTAAAATTATTCTCAAACATTGGGCGGGCGTGTTAAACAAAAACTTTAGCTAAATGAACTGTTGGCCGGGTAAATAGAATAACTAGGGGTAGGCGATCTGGTAATTTTTTAAAATAGTGGGCGTTAAGGGCAAAACCCGCCTTAGGAAGAATATCATATAAAAGCGTGGTAATATTCCAGGGGAACCATCCAGCGAAAATTTATTAGATTCTTACGGTTGTTTACATAATTATTACCAAACATAGCATTTTACAAATATGATTGACACCACTAAATGATGGTTATTAGTCCTTTATTCTTCTTTATTATTTAATATAATGGCATTCATTTACTTTTCTTTTATAAAAAATATATTGCGCGAAGTTTGAAAAGTTTTATCGGATTTGGAGTGGGAGCCGGTGCTAACATACTGAGTCGTTTCACGGTAATAATTTAGTGATTTTATATATATATAAATTTTTATCGGCGAAAATGTATTTTTAAGAGCCAGATTTGACCCCATATATTAAGATCTCCTTTAATGTCAATAATATGATTTCCTCTTAAAATTTATTATTGCAAGAATTTTTAGTAGCAAGATATTATGGCGCCAAAAATTAATATTCATTTAATTTTATAAAATTTAGGACAATGGAAAATGATAAAAATGTAAAATAAACAATAATTTTTAATATTCATTAATTTATAAACTCAAATATGAGGCACATTATATTGATATTTTAGGCCCTTACTTTGAACATAGGTGTAGACAGGAGGGGGGAGCATGAATAAGCTGTGGTTTTCCCCATAAATTTTGTTGCAGTCTTAGCTTAGTCCAAAGCAAGCCTTTTGGCTATGTTTAATCTTTTAAAGAATTTTTGTGTTTTCACTTTTTTAAAAAATTAGCTTAATTTAAAAATTTTGGATTTTAGAAGAAAGATTCAAAGATTTTTTATTCCCAAAATTTTTGAGCAAAATATCTTTGAAAATCACAAAATTGCTTATACATTTTTTTTTTAAATTTGTGATCATGAATGATTTATTCATAAAAGATTTCGATTTAGGATTTTAGGTAAATTTGGTCAAAATAACTTGTTTGAGCCTTTTCAAAAAAATCTTCAGAGGTCGAGATCTTTAAATATTTTTTTTACTTTGAAAAGCATTTTAAACCCTAGTTTCTATAAAATATATTAACTTTTTTAAATAACCTTATACTTTGAGGATTCAGAATAAGTTTTATTTATTCCGATTAGTTTAATATTATTGAATAGTTATTTGAGGTCAAGAAGCCTTTGCTATGACTCTAAATTTGAAATTATGGAGTCTACATAATTTAACAACATTAAGATAAACTTAAACACTTCATACAATCTTAATCATCAATAAATTGAAACTACAGCTTTTTTTAAAAATATTATTATTACATTATTTAAAAAAATCTGCCTTACTCGTTGCCTATCTATTAACATTGCATATTTTTTTGAGCGTTTTTAAACGACTCAACTCAGGACGAGCTTTAAAAAGATTGATTTAGATCAAATTTAATACAATTTAATAAATAAATCTTTTTTTTAGTTCTTTAAAAACGTAAATTTGAATTCTAGGCCAGTATTTTTTTTGAAAATTTTTATGAATTGGTTATTTATTATGGTATGGAACAATTATTTTACTTGATTTATATAGTTTGTGGAACGGCAAAAATTAGTTAGTCTATAATTTAAACCATTATGAAATATCGCATTTGAAATTGTTAAAATATCATTTTATATGTTTATAAAGTTAAATATGAATATTACTCTTTTTCAATTAGCTTAAACACGGGGACAAAGTGGAAGCCTTGTTCCTGGTGGAAGCCAATGGTAACGCCGCTGGATGGACTGAATGGAGTTATCAAAAGCTTAACTCATTTTACCTGAGGAAGAATTCTCTTACCAATTTCACTCACGAATATTTGATTTGGCATCATTTTGGGAAGGTCGTTTTATTTTATTTCACATTTTATACCATTTTTAATTATTATCGTGAACATTTTATTATACTCATTTCACAAATCAGTTTGAGGGAGAAATATTTGAATAAAAATCACTGTTCCCACTTCATTAGCTGGGACTGAGAAATGACCAATATATGATAACCCATTTTTTTGGCCATCACAATTTATTTTATTTGGATTTAAGTTATTTATGCATTTGCTAATAAAGTACCCAATCACGATTTTCGCCAAAATAATACTATGTAAGCCTGGAGATTTCTCATAGGTGGCAAAAAGATTTGGACTTCTATTTTCTAAATCCCAATTCTCGAGGAATACATAATATCATTTTGGTTAAATTCTTAACCAGGACATTTTTAAAAATCCACCCGAATCGTGCTTTTTCACAACCTTACTATGCCGTTGAAATCCCTTCTCCCATAAAAAAACACATTTACTATTTTTAAAAGACTGTAAGAAGTTGTTTTTTTAGTAGAATCTTTTTTTTTTGAGGGTAGGGGGATTGTGAACCTTGTATCATAGAAACTTCTATTTGCAATTATATTTTAATTTTATGTTTTAATATTAAAGGTAACTCCCGATAAAAATTCCGATCTGATAAACGCCTTCAAGGATTACTTTCTTCATCACATAAATAACCTAAATTTAGCATCCTTTATAGAATCATATATTAGGTAATATTCGAGTTGTGAGATGATACCCTTGTGAAATTAATTCAATTTTTTTTATCATGAAAATGTAAATCCCTTTTTCTAACTCCTTAATTTTGTTTTACGAGTTCTTAATATTAAACATATGCCCGATTTTTATATAGGATAGAAATTTTAATGTCTAGTCTTCTTATTTAGATTACAGTTTTAAAGGATTTAAATTTATGAATTTATTTGCTAACCTGACCCCATGACACTGTATTTTAATTTCGGGAAAGAACGATCTTGTTTATAATTTTTTTTCTAAAAATAATTATTGTAAACTATCATTTTATATTATTATTATTATACTCTTATATATTTTTTTTGTAGGAGAACCGATTTGGGTATATGCAGAAATTTGAATTACGGCCTCGATTCCTCTACTATTAGTCAAAATGGCAATACTAACACTAATGTTAAAAAGGCTAACAAAAATTTTAGGTGAAAAAAAAATTTGCTAAAATGATAATATTAGGATTTTTGATTAATTGTTGCATGGTTGGTTTTTGTATCTTTGCTCTTTCCCGCAATTACTCTTTTTTTTAAAAAAAAAAGAAGATAATTTTATAAATAGCAAATGACTTTATTTTTTTTTTGAAGTTGCCCCGTGATGATTATAGCCGGTAGCGAATCCCCACATATCGAGGAAAGCGAAGCTTTGTATGCCAATCTTGAACCTAACGATTCTTCTTGGCTTAAGGTTTATTCAAAAACAAAATTCTAATTTTGTAATGAAATAAAAAGTAATATTATGTTAATGAAATCTAATAAGGGGAAGGAGGGGCTGGAAGAAAGAAGAGAAAAAGTCCATGAATATAAAACACAAATTTTTATATTTACGATTAAAGGTATCTAATTGTGGAGGAATGGTTTTGGAAGAAAGACCCGATAAGGTGTCCGAAGCATTTCGCTTGTTTATTCAAGGATTAGGATATAGTATGCTTTTTTTAAAAAAATCATATTCATTTATATATGATGTATTTATATTGGTATTAATAATTAGAGATGTATTGAATCCAGATTTTCCATCATAGGTTGAATCCTATATTTTTCCGATCATGATATCAGTCCTCTTATCATTCAGAGTTCAGATATCACTATGATGGATTCACTCCACCTTTGATGTATATAGTGTTAAAGTAGGGAGGTTGATTCATAAAAAAATATTTTAATAATAATGCAAATTCAGGGAAGTAAAATGATGGCCTATTTTTTTTGTTATTGCTGACATTTTATTAATAAATTTTATTTTTGAAATTAAATTAAATTAAATTTTTTAATAGATAAAGTTTTTTTGTCTAATTAATAAATAATGAATTCAAATTTAAAATATCCGCAACACATTATGTAATAGAGAGGGGTTGGAAATATGTTGTTATTTCATCATTTAAAAAAAAATTAGGAAATTATAACAATCTGAAATATTTTTGTGATTAAATAAATATCAACCTATAATTTTAAAAGATCCTTATTGTAAAATTAAAAATATGTAGAAACCGGTAATTTTCATAGAATCAGCCGGACCTCTCGGAACCGGTCTGGTGCCTAATTTAATATCTGGTACATCTCTAATATCAATTAGTAATTTATCTTCAGATAATTTTTATTAATATATTATCTCGAAATTATATATTTACTTTGAAATAACAAATAGGACAGCTACATTTCGGTTGTTAAATGATTTTTTGAATTGTAATTTTTTTATATATTTTGCTTGTATTAAATAAATTTTGATAAAACCAACCATCTATGTTTTACACTTAAAAAATTTCTTTCCCTTTTCCCCATCTCCCGACCATCATTAAAGTACCATATCTTAGTAGGGCTTCTATGAGCGAAAACAAACGAGCCGATTACCAGAAATATCGTTCTTTGTCCACTAACGTGTACCCTAATAGTTCTCTTAAAAATCTGGCAACGGATTTTGACCCCTCAACCAACTTGGCTAAACAAAAATTATCTCTGCCCATAAGACCTCCCTTGAATTTCCACAAATTTAATCCTACTCCACCATCGCCATATCTACCCCACGAACACCATAGAATGGCCGGAAATGAAAATAACAATGAATCGATTTTAAAGAATAAAGCGACGACGGGTAAAGTTGATACTAATGGAATAAGCCTAAACGGCAATGGTAACAGTAAAATACTGAGGGTAGTAGATGTTCCGTATACCCCTACCGATGAAGAAAATATCCCTCTCTCTGGCATACCATCGTCGTCTAGGAATGGGATAGTTGAAAATGGCCATGGTATGTCGCCCGATGTAATGGCGTAGAATTCCTCCTCCCCTATTAAACCAGGCCCTCTCTTGAAATGTGTAATTCTTTAATTTGATAATGAGATTCATTATCAACCAAGAAATTATTTAATTAACGATTATCGCAATTTATATATAAATTTTTATTAAAGTCATTACGAGTATAATATATAAAGTAAATATTTTGATGTCTTTTTTTACTTGTCTTTTATTTTTGTACTAACCATTTATTTGATATCATAATATTATATTAACTTTATTTATTATTTTTTTAAAAATAATATATAATTTTGCGAACATTTTTTCTATCATCTCCTATAATGCAAAAAAAGTTACTAATTATAAATGTATAATAAAATTTATTTTCCGTGTTCTATTTATAAATAATTCAATATATCAATGTAATATATTAATGTTCCTTATCATTTTTATATAAATTTATTTATGTCACTAAAACGATTTATTTTTGTTGAACACCTTATGTACATGCGGATGGGTGTTTAAAAATCATTGCTATATATTTTTTTAAAGTTTTTAAATTGTGAAAATTTTTGCTTTTTTAAATAAAATTTGTTCATTTTTTTAAAAATAGAATCTAACATGTATCATTCTTATTATAATGCGAATATCTTTTTAATTCAATATTTTTGATATTTAGGTCATCACATGATGTATAATTTTGAAGAAAAAAAAAGATTTTTAAAAAACTCAATTAAATACTTTTCGTATCACGAGATATTTAACAATAATATATTTGCCAACATTTAAATTAATATACCGGATTTTACTATGTTAATATTCGACTTATATTATTTTGCACAGAATAAAAACTGAAACATTCAGAATTTTTTCCTTAATTGCACAGAATTGTAAAATACTTGAAGTTCAGAATTTTTACTAATTTCTACATTTATTCTTCTTAAAACTTACATTTTTCTGAGTGGTTCATTTTTTTAATCTAAGCTTTTTAGTTTTATACCTGAATAATTAGTATTTTTCTGATAAATTAAGTTTCACCTAAAGTGTTTTTTATGAGCGTTAAGTATTTATTCTAAGAATTTTCTTTTCTAAGTATTAAAGTTTTTATGTCGGATTAAATGGAATCCATATTTTTATACTTAATCAAAATCAAAACTCTTAAAAGTTTAGGGTAATAATGATAGCTTGACCTTATCTCCGTTATTTTTTTTGTAATTTGATCTTTATAAATCATAAGCTATCTAAATCTAGTGTTGATAATATTTATATATTTGCATATATGTAGTATGGAGGTGTCAGATCTCAAAGTAAAAAAATTTGAAGGTTTTATTTTTTATCAATTATATTTTTTATTACATTTCATATTGGTAAATGTCAGTTTTAAATTTTTTTTTGGTGTATTAAAACCTTAATTAACCTTCAAGTCTCAAGCCTAATTGTGTTATTTTGATTAATTTTCTAGTGTATCATGTTATTTATTAATTAACTTTAAAAAAAATTAATATAAATTACCAAAATATCTTAATCTTAATGTAATCGATTAGTAATAAATTATCTCATTGTGATATTATTTACAAAGTCTTTTGACTAGAAGCTTACAATTGGTACTCGTATGCCTTTATGTATTTTAAAATTGCGACGCCATCCTCATCTGTTATATAATTTTGTATACTTATTGGGTTTTGGATGTAATTGACCACCTTTGAATTATGATAAAAACACATTATTTTGCAATATAATGCTGGATCCTTTACATACTAACAATGCTATGCAAATATTCGTTACTAACTATCAAAATTTTTTAGCAGATATTAGGTTGAAAATTTTTTGAAGGGATCCATAGAGAATGAGGCCTATCTTTCGTCCAGGGTTTTAATAAAGCAGCAAGAATTGTAGACATAAACTAGATACATTTAAAAGATTGACTATAAAGATATCATTAAGACCTTAATGGTTTGCAATAGAGGAAATCAATACCAATGTTGGTGTCTGAGAAAATAAAAAGAATTATGCACAAATGATGTTCAAATATTTATATTAAAAAGAAGAGTTGGTGGATTTTTTCTCTGGATCTGCATTTTTTGTTTCGGGCTACGTCTCAGCCCCAAAGTGGCCCCCAATTATTATAAATATATAATATACTATCAGAAATGTGTTTTGATTAAGGGATTTTTTTTTGTAAAATATTTTAAGTACCTTTATTTATTTCATTAGTGATTATAAATATTATAAATTCTTTATGACAAGACAATCTTATGCAAGGGGAACTGATAGCAAAAGGGATATAGTAAATATAAATATTGTATAAAAATGTAAGATCTTTTTCTATATCATCCAAGAATATGATTCCTACACTATTATCAGTTTAAAGTATATCAAAATTATTGTTTATGCTTATTTTTTCAATGGTTTTTCCTTCTAGATTAAAATTATAATTGATTACATATTTCAACAAAATTCCTACATAATCTTTCCTTTTTTTAGTGTCTATTACAAATAGGTCTATAAATTTTTTGGTATGCCTTGTCTCTTTGACCTAGCCGATTGGATAATATTTAATTTGTAGAGCTCTACTCATGGTTATACAATTTTATAAAGAAATTTACTAATGTAAAATAATCATAAATACAAAATAATAATTCATTCTTATTATACAAATGTATTTGTTAGATATTTAAAACATTTTAGTAATAATAAGCATAATTGTCATTCTTATTATACAATTGCATTTGTTAGACACTTATAACATTTTAAAAATACAAAACCAAGCTAAAAAATAAATATTTGGGGTTCCAGCCAAGTGAATACACAATTTAATGTTGTCATTTGCTTGGTCGTAAAATTTACTACCTAATTTGGTGATCAGGCCGAGCACAGACTCGGGGTCTAGACCTTTGAATCCGACCCGTGGTCTAGACCAAGGGTCCAAACTCGTGTTCAGATACGGGGTTCAAGTCGGTCCAGACTGGAAGTTCAGATGAATGATGTTATTCCAAATAGTTTAAAAAAAAATTATTTACCAAAGGTAAAGAAGCATATAGGGTTAGATAGTAAAGCTCTACAAGCGACTCAGATTAGGGTTGAAAAAAACTTTAATCAGGTCTAGATAAGGCTTAAAAATACTAAAAGAAATTATGAATAAATGAGTTATAATGTTGGTTAAGCGAGCAATTATTTCTAGCCATACGACTTTGCAATGATTCGAAAAATAACGTTTTTTCTAAATAAAAGAATTAATAATTTTACTGGGATTAGGACAAGGATAATTAGTATTAAATTTTAACTTTATACAAAAATTAAAATGATTTATATTTTTAAATTTTATTATTTTTGGACTCAGGACTAAAAGGAAAGTATTAGTGCCTAAAATTTAATAGGTATGACTCAGGTAGTGTTTTAAAATAAATTGAAATTGGCCAAAAAAAATTGAATTTGTGATTTACCTCGGGGAGAATAAACGAGTTTTTTTATTACCCCATTTATGGTTAGTGCAAATTAATTATTATCAGGATTCAAAAAAAAAATTATTAATTGTAATAATGTGATGTGATTCAATGTAAATTTATTCATCTGCTCTGCTGCCATATATTTGATCATTTATTAACTCCATTAAGCGAAAATTAAGAAAAAATAAATCTCATTTCCTAATCTTAAATCTTATTATACACTCTAATTATAAATTAAAGAGTTGTTTATTATTTTATTCTATATTAATTCCGTTTTCCAACCATTTAAATATGTGTTTAATTTGAGATGCTTTTGAAAGGAGTATGTTTGACCTAGCCATTTTTTCTCTTCCAAACTAAGTTAAATTCAATTATATAATTATTATAGTTTGCATATAGTTAACCCTCTCAACAACTTTTGTGGGGTTTATAGGATACTCACAACTTTACAAAACAAAATTTCCTAGTTATATATCGACAATTATCTTTTGGACACAATTATTTTTTAAAACTTTGCCATAATTCCTTAACAATCAACATATTTTATCTAAATCTTAGCAATTAAATTTAATAATATGATAGAGGGCAAAGGCCCAGCGTAGACAATATCATTCTCAAAAATAGCCCCCCCCCCCATTGAATTAATAATTATATAAAGTACTTTAGATTAATTGCAAATATTTATATAAAAAGAGCTTACATAAACTTTGAATTTTCTAGGCTTCAAATAGATTAAAAATATTAATCCAGGTTGAACTCAAATTTGTATCTAGGATATAAATAATTACAAAATTTATATAAAATTGAAATCATAGATAAATAATTTTTTTATATAATACTGTAAAAAATTAATTTAGTAATTAAGCGTTAGCGAGGGAAAAATCCTTTGCGCTTCACATACATACAGAGAGCAGAGTATAATTTTTAAATAGATATAATTCTAACGGAAATGTACAGAAGCATGTGTAAAACAATAATGTATAAATAATTCAAAGGCGGTTCCTTAATTAAAAGTGTCCATACAATACTGACATAGCACTATGTTATGGTTTCTAAGATTATTTGTCTTTAGGATTTATGAATATACACATCAACGTACCAACCAAAAAATAGGGCTATAGGGGATTTCATTGTATAGACACCTTTAAACACAATTAATGAATAAATAATTTATCTATTAGCGCATATATATATCATTGATGTCGAGTACCTAAACTATGAATTTCAAGCCATTTGCTAATTATTTTGGACTAATTTTAATTTTTATATAACCAGATATTTTCCCAAAAATTATATACATATGCTATGGTTCGTGCATATGAATGGCCTGGGGGGAGGGAAGGAATATTCTATAATTTAACTGTTTTCATGTATCATTTTGAGATTAAAAAATAAAATATTTCTTTAGAAAAATGATTTATATATTACATAGCCAAAGGCCCACAATAAATGGACCTAAAGATCTTTAATAAAACGTATGGGAAATCCCACATAATAGTGCTTTCTAGTGTGGTTAAATTGCTTGGTTGGGTCGAATTAGCATGATTTTTAATTTTTTTATCAAAAAAATGTACTAAAACCAATACAACCAAATCAATCGACCAGAGCACAGACACGAGCGTTGGTGCTCGGGTTGGTGCTTGGGTCAATGCACGGGTCTGTGCTCGGATCGATGCTCGTGTCGATAGATTTGGTCGACCAATTTATTCCCTTTTTTGGTTTTGGCTTATTTTTTCAACAAAAAACTGGGTCATGGTTGTTTAAAACCAACTAATTAACCACACTAGCTTTCTCTTCCCTTAACAAAATTCTAACGATGTTTATGGTTTCAAGATTTTTTAAAAATTAATAATCACCATCGTAAATGATTTAAATTTAAAAGATTCTGAAACCTCAATAAGAATTCCGGATGAATTGTCATTTAAGAAAACCTTACTTTATAATATCATAGGTCGCTGACGATTATCAACTAAAAGAATTAGTAGAAATATGGAGGCCATTTTAGCTTATATTTTATATAAACAAAATATATAAAAAATATCGGTTATTGTAATGGTTCTTCTATATTCTGATGATATTGATGTATATAGTATTCCTCATCAAAGAATGAAAAATGCTATTAATTCCTACGTAAAACAGGTAAATATTTTAGTTATTTTACCCTAATATAGCCTTAAAATTTAAATTTAAAACATTTTTATTAACTATTTTATATAGATATCCATCACAAATTTTACCAATATTTGTGATTTTAAATTTTTACTAAAATCCTTATCAGATGTATTTACTGAGTTTGAAATACATGAAAGAATTGAAAATGAATGTATTATTAAAGAATTAAAAAGTAAATTGGCTAAATTATCAATCAAAAACTCAAAAATTTGTGAGTGCCATAAAGATAGCAAATTAAAAGAAATGAGAAAAATGTTTGAATCAGGACTAACTGTATATTTATCAACATTTTAATATAATCAATATATTGTTTAAGATTAATATGTCCCAACTTTCAGATTTTAGTTATAAACTAAGAGATGCATTTAGTGAATTTACACATAACTTTATCCCACATATGGAGGAAGAAGAACAAGTAATAATTTTGATTACTTCTGATTAAAAAATTAATGTATAAATGGAGGAAAGGCAAAGATACCATTTGCATGGCCTGGTCTTGATTTTTTCTTGGCTTGTTTTTTTTTTAAAAATAAACCTAGTTTGGCCTGAATTTTTTTTAAATATATTTTATTTATTTTTAATTTTTATAGCTAATAATGGTGATTTATAATATATGGCCCATCTAGGGTATTCTTTAAAAAATAAAATTCAGTCCTACCTAAGTATTTAAAAATATTTTTTAAGCCTGGCCAGGGTATATTTAAAATCAAAATACTGACCAGCCAATGTACTGTGCCTGGTCTTTGGTATATATATCAGAAAAGGTAGCAAACTAGATATATGCATTCGTTTTTTAGATTAAGCTTATTTTTTTCTACAAAATTTTTTAGTCAAAATACACTTACTAGTGTTGCTAAACTGCTCAATTTGAGCCGATGCCATAAAAATATTGTGTTAGAAGTTTTTAAAAAATGGCTCAAATTGAGCCGTTTTACAACACTATATATAACATTAATGGATAAATGTCTATTAAAAAAATATTTTTCAGTATTTCCAGCCACTCCTAATGACTTATTTTAGTTATGAAGAATTGAGAAATCTTAAGAAGATTGTGATGTCTAGACATTCAATAGAGGCTTACCATTTATTTTATGGTCTAGATCAAACTATGGATAGCAATTCTATTTACTCTTGTAAGTAAACTAGAGTTGGGATTTAAAATTTATAAGTTTTATAAATGAACCTTTAACTAGATGGTATTTTTCTAATTATCATTCAATTTATATTAATTTTTTGATCAAAATGCATTAGTGTTTTACTTAATAATAATTATTAGTCATATCTTAATATTTTTAAACATATGTAAATGGCATGGTTTTTGTAAATAACAGTTATGGTTGATATTTATTATGTTCTAAAAATATTTAAGCAGGCAAAGAAGCCCCATCTGATGCAACCTATAGTCACTCTTTCAGGTTACCAAGTGAAATTATGTTAAAGATTTTTGGCTATCTATCACCCAAGGATTTGTTGATAGCATCAAGGGTAACTAAAATTTAACCTATTAATTACAGAGTTTTTTAAGTGTCAGGAAAAAAAATCTGTTATGGGCAGACTTTAGTTAGATTATTTAAATTTGAGGTTGAAATAATTATTGAACAAAAATTCTTTAAATTTTTTTTGACAATATAAAATAATAGGTATTTTTTATTTTTAAAATCCACAATAGTATATTATCTACAAATTTTGCCTATCAGATCAGCCAATTTAAAAATATTAAACACTAATTTATAAATAAAATAAGCAATATTTATTTATTAGGTTGAACGTTACTGGCGTGACATATGTAGGTCTTCCATCCTTTGGCCCTCTTTATCGCCACTAAAATGGATATCAGGTTTGAAGAAAATAAATGAAAGGAAATAAAAATATTAACAAAAAAAATATTTGCCAGTCAGAATTTGTATAAACTATCTAGCTTATATTAGAATAGAATTGCATGTATTGTTTGTATAGCCTTAATAATACTTTAATTTTATCTTATCCTGTCTAAAAAATAACATTCTGTTTTTTCTTTACTTTTCTACAGATGAATGGAAGTTTCACGATTATAATTATAGTGGTAACTCATCACCATGTCTCGATTACAGGAATCACCATACTCACTATTATGATGCAACTAATGTACCTGAAATGGATCGAAAAAACAAACCAACCATCAATGTATAAACCTTTTTATTTTATTTCTGAAATAAAGTTCAAGGTGCTTATGCTTATTGTTATATTGTATAATAATAGTTATAATGAAATCCATACTCAATTCCCCACCTACACCCCCCCCCCTCCCAAAAGAAAATCTAAATATGAGCAATTATGTATCTAAAGTTGTTAAACAATATGTATCTTTTTCTCTTTCATTTATGGGGGATTAGGAAAAAAGTGTTTATTTTTTTAATTAAAATTTTGTTGTTAAATAAATGAATTTATACAGGAAATTTTTTTTACAAATTAAAACTTTTAGGAACTTACAATTCCAAAGTCAAGACTTTATAATGAATCTAAAGTATTGATCGGCATGATCAAGTATCTTCTCCCTCATATAGGAAGCGGACTTAAAATTTTGGATCTCTCTGGCTCGACTAAACTCAACAATTTTTTTGTATAAATTTTATAGATATTATTATGTTACTATTTTTTTTAAAATATATATTTACTGAACCCTCGTGAGGTGAGACAATATCATTGATAGTCATTATAAAGAGCAATTTTTGTAACTCATTTATAGGTTTAAGAATTGAAATGATCAATTACCTTTTTATTATAAGTGTATCTTAACAAAGAGTGTGCCTTTCAAAATTATCATTGGAACACTTTTAAAAAAAATATTTAAAAAGTTCTAAATTTAAATTGTTATTTCAAGTGGATTTAATTCATGAAAATAAGAAAGAGAGTTAGTTTTTATGATATTAGAAATCGAATAATAATTTTCATAGTAAATATCCACAAGAAAAGAGTTTTAATTAAAAAAATTATATAGTGAAAGGTTTTTATAACCATAGAATGCTAAGGTAGAAGTAAATAACGCTAGTAGTTGGGTGAGGCTCTTAAACCTTATATCTTACTTAAATTTTTATTATTAAGCTTTCATATTTTAAACATTTATTAAGTTAAACCTTAAATTAATCATAAATATAAAAATTTTGAAGATATTAATGAAAATTTTCTGAAAAATTTTTATAAATAGTGTTGAAAATTAACCAAAATTTGCCTTAAATACTATATCTCATATTTTTTAATTTAAGAATATATTTAACTTATTTTCTTTTTTTGCATTAGCTTAAAAAGATTTTATCATATTGCCCCAGGCTTGAGTGCCTTGACGTTTCATACACCAATATCTCTGACGCAGCATTTGTTAAGTTTAAAAATATATATGCATTATTTTTATTTTTTTTATATTATATGAATTTTTATGTACCTCGGGGAAATATTGTAATAAAGAGGAATAATAAATTAATCGAAAACGAATAAATTTATTTAAACCAAAACAAAAATGGATCATTCTATAGCAATAAATTGAAGTTTAAAATCCTTTTTTTGCTTAAATTTTTTGTGAAGTACCTAACCTAAGGAATAGATCCCAGCCTTATGTTATCCTTATTCTCGATTACATTATTCCGCAAGGGAGGAAGGGGTTTATAGTTTCAACTGAATAATTTGTTTAATATTCATTTAACCCCCTCCCTCGTCCCCAAAATCATTTTTTTAGCTGCATCGTGAAAAAATGAACCGACGAAAAATATTCCTCCTCGGTTTTATTTTACATTTTTTGCAGGTGTTTTATTCTATCTGGTATAATATAAAATTTAAGAAAAATCCGAGATTAAAAATAATTTTTTTTTAAAAAAATACTATTTTTTTATGGATTTTTAATTTTGTTTATAATTTTATTTTTCGATATATGTCGTATTGGGAGAATTCATGGGAATTCGAAATATCTCAAGTTTAATTCAACTGAAGATGATTTTTGAATTTCAAAAATATAATTTCACTGGAAATATAGATTTAAAATGACAATCTAGTATTTTATCCAGAAAAATATTATGCAAGCCTGAAGATTTTGTTTCAAGATGGTAGAAAGTTTTGGAGCATCTATTAACGAAATCTCGAGGCTTAGGCAATACTTTTCTGACTAAAATATTGAGTTAGCTGGTTTTGAAATCGGCTTAAATGGAGCAATTCTGCATCGCTAGTGTAGAGCACCTACCTTATAAATAACAGACAAATTTTCACTACGATCTTTGTGGTATGTTTATTTTTTGAAAATTTATATAAAAAACAAGGATCCTCCTGAAAAAATGGGCGGGTGGGGTTCAGCTTCAGGGTTCGGAGACTAGAAAAATAATGACTTATTAAAATTAGTTAAAATAACAGAAACATCATTTTTTTAAAATAAATTTATTCTCTTTGTCTTAACATCAATTTAATAATCCACAAACAACAATATCCTAAAATAGATATTATTATATATTATCATAGAAAATCTTTTATTAAATGAAAATCGTAAATTACATGTTTTTTATGTATTATTTTTAACATAATTTAAAATAAATAAAACTCTTATTTATTATTTAAATTATAATATAACCCTAATTTATTCAATATAGTTTTCTCACATCAAATATAAAATAAAATAAAACAATATTATATAAAAACGGAGGTGGGACTACAAGTTCCCAAAAAACATGCGTAATTATATTTTAAAATTGTGATTTGAAGGTTTTGTTTTAAAAAATAAGCCTACAAATTTATCGTTAGATGATGGCTTAAGACCAGATGGCTTAACTTCCATGCCTTGGTCTTTAGGGAAATCCTTAATTTGGGACTTCACATGCGTATCTTCTTTCCCAAAAAATTTAAATTCTAATCCGGTTGATATAGCCGAGAAAAAAAACAATGAAATATTCCAAATTCACAAATTATATTTTTACACCGATTGTTATCTCTTCCCTTGGATATATGCCAAGCGAAACTTTAAAGTTTTTAAAAAATATAGGGGATAAGACAAGAGCCCTTACATCAGAACCTAAAGAATTTTATTTTTTAAAACAAAACCTTCAAATCACAATTTTAAAATATAATTACGCATGTTTTTTGGGAACTTGTAGTCCCACCTCCGTTTTTATATAATATTATTTTATTTTATATTTGATGTGAGTAAACTATATTGAATAAATTAGGGTTATATTTAAATAAATAAAATGAAAGTTTAAAATAAAAATAAAAAAATTTTTTTTAAAAAAAAAGCTATGACCCGGAACCCTAAATTTTAAAAAAGAGTTTGGGTTTAGCGAAATATCGAGGGTTTGGGTTCTCATCCCTGATAAAAAATATATATAATATTAATATCAATTAAGAAGGCAAAATTGTCTACGAAATTCCCAGTGTAAGTATTACATGCTGAAAATACATTTCCTATCAAATCAGATTTTTCAGAATTAGAAATTACTCTCAATAAATGATACTAAATTTGAAAGATTCCAAATCTTAATACTACATGTAATACATCATTTATTGAGTCTATTATTTCCCTTAGAAATCAGCTCCCAAACTTGTGCATGTATATCTTTGCAAAGGTTTTTTGGGCATATGCTCTCTGGCACAGTTCGAAAAAATATCCCTTCTCCCAGGTATCAGGTTGGTCCAAAAATCTTTTTATCCAGCATATAGGTCATTGTACAGACCTCTAATTCCCATACATAGTGGTTTTAAATTTGTATAATTTTTTATCTTGAAAAGTTGGTACGCTCTCCCTGGCTCGTGTAACAAGCTACGTAGAATAGATCTCTCTGGCTGTCCAGCTATAACAGACCTTACCCTCCTATACTTATCAAGAGGTCTCACCAAACTTAATTGCCCAAAATGGGGGATCGAAGAATTCACTGATGTTTACTATATGGATTTAAAAGTTAAATATTATCTTTATGTTGATTACTGCATCGTTGTTTTTTTAATGGTTGAAAAACATCATTTTTAAGTTTATTACAATGATCTTTTGGTAGATTCAAGATTCCTAAGGGTTTCACAACCTATTATATTTTATAGTAAATAGTATTTTGCCAATATTCTTAAGAGAGATCGGGGGACTCCCATAAATCTTATTGAATCCCATTTTTTCTAGGCCTTTATACAAGTCACGTTTTTTAAATATTTTTGGTTTTACGCATTTTTTAATTCTTTTTTTTACTGAAAAATTTAATTATGATCATTATTTTAAAACATTGATATTTATCTTAAAGAAATATTATATAAATTTGAGCTGGGTGAGGGGGGGGAGGGTGGTGATAATTTTTAATAGTTTAAGATAATATTTCCAAAGGGGATGGGAATAACCCCCCACTACGCCTGCATATTAATTAATTTATGTCTATCTGTTTTATTAAAGGCCGATTTCAATACTCATGTTCAAGCCAAAAAGGACGATATTTGCAAGAAACAAATTTCAGATGACTTTTGCCATTCTTATTGTTCTTGTTCTCAAACGTTACCAAATCAGATCGATGATAATGTGTACATCAAAGATGAGATCATATGGAAAGAATCCTATGATGATAGTAATAGTGAATGCAGTCTGGAATGGTTGGGATTATCTGGATGTTACAAAATAACGGATAGGGGTTTAAGGTAACCCTATTTTTATTTATTTGTGAATATTCCTATAAAATGGGTGGAATGTTATGTTTTATTTCACATAAATATTGTTTTAAAACCCTTCTTAGCACAAGCGGGACTATGTAGACCCTAGTCATTTAAAAAATTATTGTTTAAAATTATTCGATATTTTATCTATATCTTATAGTAACTATATTTTTTAGGTAAAGTATATATGAGTAAAATTATTTTTGATTTTGTTCATGAGCTATAACGGTTATTTGTAGCTTAGGGTTTATATGACACAACCTTGTTATACATAAAAAAAATTTCTCTGTTTTGGCATTGATATATTAACCCTTTCGTGCCCGGAATATTTCCCATGAACAAAAAATACTTGTACTTTGACATAATAAAATAATGATTTTGACAGGTTAATGATAAAATAGGAAATAATAAATAATGTTTTATAAATTAATATCTCTAAGTACCAACCATTAGTTTCTTTAAATATAAAAATTAATTTATTAAAAATTTTGATGACAAATGATCTCGCTGGGCGCGAAAGGGTATAAAACACTTTTTATACATCATTTTTATTTAATAAAAATTATATTAATATTTGAACCTTAGTTAAGCATTCTACATCATCAATTTTTTTTATATATCATAATCTGGCATTTTAAAATAATATGACAGTTTTTTGACTATTGGCAAAAACTGTCATAAAATTTTAAAATAACAATAAAATCTTAATATATAACATTTAGTCACTAAATTAGAGTTTAATTAAAATAGTGTCGTGGGAATATTATAGTGATCTATATTCACTATTTATCAATGATAAATTATTTCTTCAGAACTATCTTATCTCCTATATCAACAATAAAAATGTAAAAAAATCATTTTTATTTATATTATTATATTGTTCTTATTGCAGTTATGCCGCTTCGGAATTATTCTACCCTTTGAAGAATCACTTATTCACTTAATTGAGTTTTAAAATAACTTTATTGCCTCTGAAAAATACTTAATTAAATTTTTTTGATTCAAAAAAATAAAAAACTAATTAAATTTTTTTTTATTCAAATTTTTAAGACAAAAAAAATATATATTAAATGTTTTCCAAAACTGACTCATTCTGAGCAAAATAAATTAATCCGCGAGAAAAAAAAATGGCTTTACAAATAAACCAAATATGTATTAATACAAAAATAACTTTAAAAAAAACTCCCATCACAACAGATGTCCTAATTTGCTTAGTAGTTTAGTATTATAGTGTTCTATATCCTTAAAACCAATGGCGCATTTTTATACATATTTCCCCATTACTAATATTTATATTATTATAATAATCGATATCGATGGTTAATATAAATTAAATGGAGAAGAAAATTTAATATACTATAAACATTAAAATTAGTGTTATTAAACGGCTCGATTTGAGCCGATTTTTAAAAACGCATAAGTCACTATTCTATTCAGAAAAATATTTACATGCCTGAAGATTATAGATGGCACAAAGGTTTCATCTATTAGCGAAATCAGGTTTGGCAATATTTTTCTAGCTAAAATATCGAGTTAGTCGTTTTTAAAAATCGAAAATCGAGCCGTTTATAATGAAAATCATAATATAAATTGTTTATATAGAAATGATATTTTAGATCAATATCCTATTAATAGTAAATTATTCTATAACATTAAATTCCTTTTAAAATGTATTTTAATATCGTGACTATAGTAAATAATAATTTGTATACTTGTAAATCTAAATAATAAATTTCCTATTGAGAAGAATAACTAATAATCACTTAAATCATAATTTATTGTAAAATAGATTTATTTAAAAAAATAAATAAAATGGATATAGAACAATTCTACTTTATTTTTGGTAGTTAAATTTAAAATTTTGTTCAATCTCCTAAAAAGTATAAAAACACGTTTTTAAAGAAAACTATAATAGTTAAACTTATGATAAGTTGCTTGCACATTTTTCTAAGTAATCTAAAATAAGAAAAAAAACCAGCTCTCTCCATATTGAAATACGACTAGTAAATTTTTTTAAAAATGATCTCCTGAAAGGTTGGGAAAAATGAACATAAAACACTATAATACTCACCCGAGAATATGTTTATAATATAAGCTAATTATTTAATTCTAAGATATAGCGTTCCTAAATTGAGGTCAGAGGGAGTTCCACCTAGATTAATTTTTTCCCAGCTGTACTATGATAGGAAAATTGAATTTATATATTAAATTAATATCTTATCTTTTTAATTATTCACCAGATTTCTAACTAGAGATTACCTATTTCGGACTAGCCATATTACCTTACCATCCTTGAGTTATCTAGATTTATCCGGTTTGCCTCATATTACTGCAAATGGCTTGGCCTACCTATTAGGATTCTGTTCAACCGCGAGATTGCTCCCCGAAAATATATACTATTGTGACAATGTCATGTCGTTCTTCGATGCTATCCTCAATCTCGATATAAGTTCAAAGGTTACCACGAATAGCGATGATTATATAAAATTTGATGATATCGAATTGGCATTGATAGAAAGGATTAAAAACATTCTTAATTCCTCTAATGGATGCAAAAATTTGGAGTGTGGGGAAAGGTTTTGTTGCAGGCTTGCAGAATGATATATGTAATTATTTATAATTATTACAATACAACAATCATTTAAAGAAAATTCATTAATATTTTTCTCGAATCCTATAGTGTTGGGGCGAACAAATTATATTATATAAATGAATTCTTTAAAGTTTTTTTCCACACTAGTTTTACTAACTGAGTCCCTCCGTTTTTAAAAAAAAAATCATTTATAAAAAAATTACAACAAAATATGCCGCTATATAAAGTTTAAATCTTATATTTTATACGGTTTATATTACTCATATATTATATTATAATATTACTTATTTCAGCGTAAAAATAGATTAATATATATATAATATTTATTTTTTTGTTTTAAATATACAAACAATTATCAGATTAATAAATTATAACATTCATGCAATTTTTTTTTATTATTTATTAACTATTCAAATATTTAAACCCCATAGAACTATGTTTATTATTATAATATAACTTATTGTGTTGATCATATTTAAAGTATAATGTATCATCAAAATAAAGTAGTACATGTTTAATGTTTATTCATCAAGTTTTACAAAATTAAGAATTACATTAACTAAATTAAATACAGTTTATCGATATTTTTAAGTTAGTTGTATTTATTTTAGATACCTTTCACTTTTTGAGAGATTCCTTTATGTAAGATCCTATTTTTATTTAGTTTGTCACTATTGGTGTCTTTGCTGAGTATTGATTGACACTACCAATTTATAAAGGAAATCTTTTATTTAACCATATTATAAATAAATATTTCTTAATGAGGCTAATTTAACAGGATTTTATCGGGGAAAAAAATATAGTATAAGCTAAGGCCTCGAGGGAGATGCTATACGAAAAAACATCAAATGGGGTTTTTTTGAAATAAAAAACATTAATTTATGTGATCATTTTTAAAAAAAAACCTGTTCAAAATTTGCGGATTATAAAAAATAATATAATACAAATAAAGACACGTTTCATTTAGTAGTAATAAAATTAAGATATATTTTAGAAAACAGGGTTTAAAGGCCTAATAAATTATATATTAATAAGAAATCAATTTTGCAAAAAAATTTAAAAGAAAAAAAAATTAACAAACTAATGAATATAGGGAAAATAGAATAAATACCGATTTTCTTCCTTTTTTTCTATATAGGGAGGGAATTCCCATTTTTCGTTTGAATCTTTTTGATCAGCATTTTCCTTTTTGATCCACCATTTTTTTCTATCAGGCCTCTTATTAAATCCTTTATAAATACTAAAGAATAAATAATCTCCGATTAAGCAAAAATCTTATGGGATGCGATCCGACACGATTTAATTAAAAGATTTTTAAAATCGTGCAGCTATTAACTCGAATCCCATATGAATCGAGCTAAAACCCGCCAGAAATACGTGGTGATGACATGGCAAGCATCTACAATATAATGTTTTACACATGTCATTAATTGTATAAATATTTTAAAAAATAATTAAATATCAATATGTCAGAAGGTGATACGAAAATTTGTTGACAAAATTCGGCATTTCATCTAAAAATTTCAAAGAAATCAATGAATTTTTTTTATATTTAAAACCCAAATATCGGAAAGCAGTATATTTAAAAATCAATATATTTTTTTCTGAAACTTGGCTTATAATGCCAACCAGCGGTAAAATTTTTAGTATCGTAAATGTAAAAATTGGTTGTTTAGGAATGTATTGGAGAAGATAAAGGATTGAAGAAGGAAGAGTTTGAAGAAATAAAATATTGATTTGGAATCTAAAATGAATATAATTATCAAAATAAGTAATTACCATTTCAATAATATTTATTCATCCAGTAAATCATAATTTAAAACCATAAAAGTAAAAGTGTAAAAATATAAAATTATATAAAAATTAAGTTATAAAAAAAACGTAGTCTTTAAAATTTAATTTAAATTACTCTAAATATTTTTCCTATCCAAAGTATATATTTTCACTGATAAATTTCCTACTTTTTCCACAATATTTATATCAGAGACCTGCAGGCCCGGGCCGGGCCTAAAATTTTTTTTTTAATATATCCGGGCCGGGCCTAAGATTGTTAAACCTGGGCCGGGCCTTAATATTTTTTATAAAAATTTTTACATTATGAGTTAATGGTTATAAGATTATATTATATTATAGTTATGATTAATATAATATTGGGTGATGGTTAACACACCTAACACCCACAGATCGATCTAATTATTAATTTCCTGCAAATTTATTCAAAGTAATAATATATTTTTTTATAATTCATATCTAAATTTTTACAACATATTTTACCAAAACAATCAAATAAAGGAATATCTTAAATAAGCCCCAATATTCAAGTATTAATAATATATTTTTTATAATTCATATCTAAATTTTTTAGAATATTTACCAAAACAATCAAATAAAGGAATATCATGGCACAAATTACTAATGATATAATTAATAAAATTAAAAATAATATTTATTCTTTTAGAAATACAAGTAATAATTTAAAATCTGAAATATGGGCTAAATTTAACATCATCACAGATGAAAATAAAAAAAACATTGGCTACGTACAATGTAAGAATTGTTCAAGTATTTTATCTTATAATTATAAACATGGTACATCACATCTAAAAAGACATAAATGTGATGGTAAATCCATGAAAATTAATAAAAAAAATTTACACCTGAAAAACCAACCTATAAATGTAATATAAAATATTTAAAAATTATAAAATAAATTATATTGTGCAAATAGATTATATTTTCAAAATACTATTTATTATACATGCATTTTTTTAAATAGCGATTTATTTTTATTTTAAAAATTAAATAGTAAATTAAATACAATATATTATATTCTCAAAATATTTTCCATTTTTATAAATTAAATATTAGTTTTATTTTTTTTAAATGCAATATAAAATATAGTATATGCTCAAAATATTATTACCATTTTTATGAATATTAGTTTTATTTTTATAAATGCAAAAAATATAGTATATGCTCAAAATATCCATTTTCATAAATAACAGTTTTATAATTTTTATAAATTCAATATAATATTCTCAAAATATTAGCTTTTTTCACGTATTTTTTAAATAATAAGCGATAATACTCGCTGAAGAATAGTAAAATACCTCATAGGTGAATTTTTGTATATAACAGGTCGAATATAATTTAAAAAAATTCAGAGCAAATCCGGGCCGGGCCGTAAAAATTTTTTTTGATTTATCCGGGCCGGGCCGGGCCGTAAAAAATTTTTTTTAAAAATATCCGGGCCGGGCCTAAAAAAATTAAAACCGGGTCAGGCCGGGCCGTGCAAATGGTGCCTCTGCAGGTCTCTGATTTATATAACAATATATTTTAAATTCCTCTATATTATATTTTCTTACATATATTTTTGAAATTTCAACATTAGTCAACTCTTTGTCCCCATAATAAGCCCTTGAATTATTATAGACTGAAATTTTTAATTTGAGAACCTGATACAATTTTGTTTTTGCTATTTGGCCCACTATAAACAATGGTTGTTCAGAAATCCATTGGGGAGATTAAAGATAGAAGAAGGAAGGGTTTGTAGATGTCAAATATTGATTTGGAACCTAAAATGGAAATAATTATCAAAACAAGTAATTACTCTTTTAATAATATTTATCATCCAGTAAATCATAATTTAAAACCATATACAAAAAAAAGGTAAATAATCATAGCGTAAAGTACAAAATTTTTCCAAATATATCGCGAATATATCTAATTTACATAAGAAAAATATTTATATATAAAGAAATAGATTGTAGTAGATCGGTAGTAGTGCTTGATAATATAAGAACTTGGAAATCGGTATTATTGATTGTGAATGTATGTTTTATTATTAATTATTTACATAAACAGAATTCTTTCATATAAATTAACTATAAGTAAATTCGATAATATAAAAATTTAATGATAATATTTTTCTGAAATCATATATATATATATATATACTAATTTTATCTCTTACTAAAACAATTAACTTTACTCAAAATAAAACATATAAAATATCCAATTATAGTAAACTTAAACCATGATTTATAAAATTAACATTATTATAAAATAAAATAAAATATTATTTATAATATAATAACAAGTCCAAATATAACATAATGCCTTAAACAGTAATCATTTAAATGGACATGTATAATAACGCTTAACAATAATAAATAAAAAAACTTTAAATTGAAATGTTACATACATGTAACAATATATATAACAAATCTGCTTTCTGTGAATAAAAAAAAATAAAAAAAAACAACTTCATAATTAAGTATAACATTTGAATATCGCAACAGTAAATAAACTTTGGGACATATAAATTATGATTTGTTTATTTTCATTGAAAGCAAAATAAATAAAATAATTTTACTTATTCATTATTTTGATCCCCGTTTTCCTAAACGTAATGTAGGCATCTGTAATTGGTGTTAGCGTAGTGTTGCTCACAGTGACATAATAGGGCGAGAATCGTCTGGATAGGTTATCGTATAAGCACAATAATTTATCACTCCTATCCCTATCAGCTAGGAGACGTCAGAGCAGATACTGGTAGAGGCATCTCGAAAGGTGCCTCCTGGTATTGTTGTCTGCCATAATTGTCTTGGCTTGCAATTCGATAGGGTCACCAAGATAGGTGATTTTGGGGTTGGATCTAGGATTGACTTGCTGAGCGATAGGGTGAGGCCCCATCCTTCCAAGGTGCATCTCAGTGATCTTGTAGACCACTTGACGTCGAACGCGTTGTCCCCATAGAAAGATATTGTCCAGGTAAACATTTCCTAACAGTCTTGGCGCATGCATCGAGAATAATGCTCTAGAGACAGTAAGGACTGAAAGATGCGCCAATGGGAAGGACTTTGTATCGGTATTTAGTTCCTAGGAAGCGAACGCCGAAGAAACGACGCATTTGTACTGCCCGGGGAATCGAGAAGAAAGCCGATTTAATATCAATTTTGCAGGCGTATTTGACTTTTACAAGGTTTGAGGACATTAACGGAATAGATTTCAAGCAGAACGGATAGTGCAGAAAGTGTTTGGAGACTTCGGAGTAATCATTAATAACTCTCGGTGTTCCATCTGATTTGGGAATGATATACATCGAATACAGAATTGATCGTGGTCTCCGACCTCAATTACATCAGTGTCCAAGAGTTGCTGAATAATTGACAGGGAAATTTCATCAGGTTCGCGGGCGCAAACCTGGCGGAAGTATCTTCCTCCGTTGTTGGCGATGCGTAGATAATCCAGTCTGGGTCTGAATCTGAACCCCCTTCTGGCTATGGCTTTGGTGAACAAAGAGAGGGGTACGATCGCGAGCTTGGCCTCGGCAATGTTCAGAGAAGGACCGCCTTCGAAGATCCTGTCCATGGGAATACGATTGTGGTTTATCCGGGAGATACCTGAGAGGAT